TTAATCCTCCACATTGCATTAAAAAGGCTGTTTGATCCTGACTTCTCTGATCCTCCCCTACTTCCATTGTCCCCTAAATATATCCTGATAGAACTGAGGGCCATTGATAAGAGGGTACCACTAGTCCTCCTGTAAGGGGGCCTAGGTCAGCAGGGGGCCCCAGACAGCTGGGTGAATCAGATGTAGGCAGGGAGGGTTATCAGAACAGATGAGGGGCGATTACTGGAACTGATTCCCTTTACGGCTTTTCTGCAGCAGCTGAAAGCTAATTTCTCTCCCTCCCATCGGCTTTCAGCTGCTGCAGAGAGAGCCGTACAGGGGATCGGTTCCAGTAATGGCCCCGCGTCACCCTCCTCGTGCACCACGTTTCCCCCTGCTGCCCAGGCCCCCCCACCCCACAGTGCTGCCGGCCACCCTCCTTTCCTTCCCACCGGCAGCTGCAGGCACTAGGACAATTGGATCCTTCAGGATGGAGAATGGGGGAAGGTTCCAGTAAATATGTCACATTTACCAGCACCTTCCTTTCATGAATGAACACAGTGAGCGATCAATACCTATCACTCGCTGTGTTCATTCATGATTGAAGTATAGTAAACTGTGTTGGGTTTTTTGGGGAGGTGGCCCTGTCAGGTTGGCTGTATGGGGCCTCGTGGTTTCTAACAGCAGCCATGCTTGCTAGCCACTAGAAATGTGCTATAGGCAAGAAGGAATAGGCAAGCTTCATTACTATAAGCAAATACCAAATCTTTACCTGTCAGATCACATAGAGATTTGTCTGTAAATGTAGGGAAGTAAAGGCGTCCACAGAGTTCTGCCGAAAATTTATAACTGTAACATTTTTTTTAAATGACAGGTTCCCTGTAAGCATTTAGTAAGGATGCAAGTGCTAGACTTCAGGGATCTTCTTATCTGTGCTAGCTTGCACATCCTCAGTAATGGGGAGAAAATTAATATACAGGTGGAACTCGAAAAATTAGAATATCGTGCAAAAGTTCATTTATTTCAGTAATGCAACTTAAAAGGTGAAACTAATATATGAGATAGACTCATTACATGCAAAGCAAGATAGTTCAAGCTGTGATTTGTCATAATTGTGATGATTTTGGCTTACAGCTCATGAAAACCCCAAATCCACAATATCAGAAAATTTGAATATTACATGCAATCAATAAAACAAGAATTGTACATAGAACAATATCGGACCTCTGAAAATTATAAGCATGCATATGTACTCAGTACTTGGTTTGGGCCCCTTTTGCAGCAATTACTGTCTCAATGTGGCGTGGCATGGAAGCTATGAGCCTGTGGCACTGCTGAGGTGTTATGGAAGACCAGGATGCTTCAATAGCGGCCTTCAGGTCTTCTGCATTGTTCGGTCTCATGTCTCTCATCTTTCTCTTGGCAATGTGGGCAGGTGCCAAGTCCTGCTGGAAAATGAAGTCAGCATCCCAATAAAGCTCATCTGTGGAAGGAAGCATGAAGTGCTCCACAATCTCCTGGTAGACGGCTGCGTTGACCCTGGACTTAATGAAGCACAGTGGACCAACACCAGCAGATGACATGGCTCCCCAAATCAACATAGACTGTGGAAACTTCACACTGGACTTCAAGCATCTTGCAGTGTGTGCCTCTCCATTCTTCCTGCATACTCTGGGTCCTTGGTTTCCAAATGAGATGCAAAAGTTGCTCTCATCAGAAAAGAGGACTTTGGACCACTGAGCAACAGACCAGGTCTGTTTTTTATTAGCCAAGGTAAGATGCTTCTGACGTTGTTTGCTGTTCAGGAGCGGTTTGACAAGAGGAATATGACTTTTGAAGCCCATGTCCAGGATCCGTCTGTGTGTGGTGGCTCTTGATGCACTGACTCCAGCCTCAGTCCACTCCTTGTGAAAGTCCCCAACACTTTTGAATAGCCTTTTCCTGACAATCCTCTCCAGGCTGTGGTCATTCCTGCTACTTGTGCACCTTTTTCTTCCACACTTTTCCCTTCCACATAACGTTCTATTAATGTGCTTTGATACAGCACTTTGGGAACATCCAACTTCTTTTGCAATTACCTTTTGAGGCTTTCCCTCCTTATGGAGGGTGTCAATGATGGTTTTCTGCACAACTGTCAGGTCAGCAGTCTTTCCCATGATTGTGATTCCTACTGAAACAGACTGAGAGACCATTTAAAGGCTCAGGAACCCTTTGCAGGTGTTATGGCTTAATTAGCTGATTAGAGTGGGACACTTTGAGCCGAGAATATTGCACCTTTTCACATTATTCTAATTTTCTGAGATTGTGGATTTGGGGTTTTCATGAGCTGTACGCCATAATCATCACAATTATGACAAATCGCGGTTTGAACTATCTTGCTTTGCATGTAATGAGTCTATCTCATATATTAGTTTCACCTTTTAAGTTGCATTACTGAAATAAATGAACTTTTGCACGATATTCTAATTTTTCGAGTTTCACCTGTACTTTTTATCACAGAGATTGTAGTTCAGCAGAGAGAGGACTAACAATTAAAATGGTTGTAACCGATAACCTGCCCACCACCTCCCACATGAGACTCTTTGTTTTCTATGCTGCTTACTATGCAAGGAAAATTATTTTCTCTAAATGGAAATTGTCGGAGCCTCCGATGGTCTCTGTATGGCGCTCTACGATCAATGCCTCTTTACCCATGTACAGTATATGACCTATATGGGGCGTAATTGCCCTAAAAAGTTTAACAATATTTGGTCATCCTGGGTATCTCCCCCTTGGTTGCTTATTTGTCTCCCATCTCAGGCGCCCCCCTACATGAGGCTCCTGAATGTAAGCCCCCCTAGCGATACACTTCCCTTCTTGTCTACCCTGCTCTCCCTTGCCTTCTGTCTCTCCCTTTTCCTAAGCCTGGGTTCACATTGATGCGGTGTGTAGTTCGCAGCGGTTTCTGTGCGAATTCCGCACCACATCACAATCTCACGCCATTCATGCAAAACGCTGCGGGTGTGTCTGTTAACCACTTGCCTACCAGGCACTTATACCCCCTTCATGCCCAGGCCAATTTTAAGCTTTCAGCGCTATTGCACTTTGAATGACAATTGCGCGGTCATGCAACACTGCACCCATATGAAATTTTTATAATTTTTTCACTCCAAATAGAAGTTTCTTTTGGTGGTATTTAATCACCGCTGTGTGTTTTATTTTTTGCGCTATAAACAAAAAAAGAGCAACAAATTTGAAAAAAAAAAGTTTTTCTTTGTTTCTATTATAAAATTTTGCATACAGGTAATTTTTCTCCTTCACTGATGTGCGTTGTTGAGGCTGCACTGATAGGCAGCACTGATGGACACTGATGGGCAGCACTGATGGGCACTGATACATAGCATTGATGGGGTGGCACGGATAGGCAGCACTGATGGGTACTGATAGGCAGCACTGATAGGTGTCACTGATGAGCTGGCACTGATGAGGCGGCACTGCTGGGCACTGGTGGGTGGCACTACTAGGCACAGATGGGCCCAGGTGGGTGGCACTGCTGGGCACAGGTGGGCAGCACTGGTGGGTGGCACTGCTGGGCATTGACCATCAGGGCACTGATCATCAGTGTCCTGATGATCGGTGCCAAGCCATCCTCTGACAATTGATGGTTATCGGCAGTACTTTCCTCACACTGTGACAGTGTGAGGAAAGTGCAGCCGATAACCGGCAACTGCATTTACCAGTGATGTGTTGTGTCATTGGACACAGCTGATCACTTGGTAAAAGGCCGCTGTGACTAGCCTTTTACTGTATCATGTGATCAGCTGTGTCCGTAGGACACAGCGATCAAGGAGATCACCAGGTGCGTGCCCCTGGGGGCGTGCGGGAGGGAGCGTTCTGGGAGGACGTCATACAACACCCTCCCAGAACTGGACAATCGCGCTGTAGCCGTCATTCAGCTATAGCGCGGTTGGCAAGTGGTTAAGTTAACAACACCCTAAAAATCGGTTTGCAAAACGTGGTGCGATGTGTATAATCGAATCGCATCGGTGTGAATACCCATGCAGTCTGATTCTAGTGCGGACCAAAAACAGGGACCTGCTCCTTTTTGGTGCGGGTGCGGTTCGATTTGAGTCATACAAAATGTATGGCTCAAATTGCACCGCACAGAATTCGCATGTGATTTGCACAGAAATGCGGTGCGATTCCTGTGCGGATCACATGCGATATGCCGCACATCATCCTTGTGAACCCAGGCTAACTCTCTGTTCCATCTTTCTGCTCACACTCCCCCTTCCTCCTATCCCTCCTTTTTCTCCCCTTCTGTACTTCTTTCTCCCCCTCTCCCTTTTTCTTTTACTGGAAGTTTGGATGAAGGAAGAATGGCTGCTGCCCTAGCTGTAGCGTTCTGGTATGCAATGTGCCTGTGAAGGCCGTCCCCACATTTATAAAGGTGGGGTCATAGCGGGTCCAACTCATAAGTGGACATGATGGGCATTCCCATATATTTCAAGGCAAAGTGTAAGTGACCGACCTGTAAAGTGGATGTGATTTAGTTGCCTGCACCCAGATGAGATTTGGACTGTGGGCAGGGTTAACAGTGTCACCATAATGTTGGTATGAAAGTAAAAGCTGACTTTATTTCCCTTTATTCGATGTTCTGAGATGTAGCTGATACAGTATTATAGATACAGTACAAAAATAAACAAGACAAATCACTGATGTCTGACTGAGAATTCATCTTCATTCGCTTTATAAAAAGATCACAAAGCACCTTAAAAACTCAATGAAAACATGAGTCAAAGTTGGTGAAGGTTGAAATCTATAAAAAAAATGGTGGGGTACGGGGGTTGGGTACAATCTGGGACTGGACGACCCAAAAACGCCATTGTAAATTCCAGATTGTTTGTTTTTTTGTTGGAAAAGAGTCTGTTGTATGTGGGACAAGGTTATCCAGGATTTGAAACCAACTGAACATTGCAGTGAGTAGACTTTGCAGAGCAAAGAGCCTCTGAGCATAAAGACTCCTTTACGATGTCATTGGGTTATTCGTCCTTTTCCACAAAGACTTCTCCATGCAGGACTTTTCTTCTTTGGCGGAGCATGTGGAAATACAGCTGGGGAAATACTGAAAAGAAAGATTTTAGATGGTGAATGATTTGTTACCGTTACTAAATGGTCAACAACATTATGGCTCCATTCATAAGGCCGATTAGGGGTGTGCACTGCCAAGAAACTGTGTATTTCTGGAGCAAGGATCACGGGTGGAAAAGTGTAAAGCCTTGTGATCTGCTATGACCCCACCACTTTGTCCAAAAAACATATGTGTTTATATGTATTAAGTCATGATGATAGCATGTGAACCTGTAAAAAAAACACATAGGGGCGGGGCTTAGATGATATCATCATACATGGCGTGCCAATTAGAGCTTCCTATGTAACTATACTGTGTGTTGCACACCACTAGCGCAACAGGTGAAAAGAAAGGTGAACAGCCTCAGCCATGAGCTCCTCCTGAGCCCAGCCCTGATGCATTTCATCCTGCGCATTGGGGCTTCAACATATACAGTATTTCCCTTTGTATAGCTCACTGACTCATTTGTCATTTGCCATTTTGTTCCCCACCCATTCCTCCTATTTATTCAAGCTCTCCTGTCTGGGGGCTCAGGTTGGTGAGAGGAGCTTTGCGCTTGCTCCGAAACGCGTAACTGCCCCCTTTTGACGTCACTTCGGATACATGTGTTCTACGCTGGTCTCGGAAGTCTTGCCTCTGCAATCCACCTTTCCCTCAGCTGCTGGTTGGCGTGTGAGGTCAGAGAGAACTTTGACAGGAGAACTGCCATTATGTCTGTATGGGATGATGAGCTTGACTTACACTACTTCTCTGTTTTAAACTGTTTTCTCCAATAAATACTGGTGTTATTGCACTTAGATGCGCCTTCTCCTTTTCTTATGTCCTTATTAGAGTCTGACCACCATAGTAGATAAGTATTTCTTTCCTTTGATCTTCAGCTCCATCTAGTGCAGCACAGACAGAGAGTACAGGAAACAATCAGCTCACAAGATTTCCAGCAGGATTGACAGGTTTTTTTTGCAGATATACCACTTTCAATGGTTTATCCAACAGATCAAAAAGGGGCTAAGAGAAGTTCACTGTCAGGGTTTACATATGCTTTAAAGAAGAATTCCGGGCAAAACATTTTATTTCCCCATGAAGTGGGGCTGTCCCTGCAATGCATGGGTTAAACGCTTGTTTTTGTCTAAAGGTTCCCAAAGCTCAGATATACTTACCTAATCTGCCATCACTCTGGGTGCAAGACCGGTCCCTGCTGCTCCTGCCCCCCCCCCCTGCACGCTATCAGTCTTGTGAATGGGCTGTTTCAGATGTCACCATGCCCATAGACCTGCTCAGGATGTGAAGACGGCTGGAACAGTCCACTGTTGGATGTGGGGGAGCACAGGTTTTTCAGGGGATCGGAGGATGGGGTAAGTAGAGCTTTTTTACTAAGCCTCTTGACAAAATGAGCAGTTAACCCATTCCGGGCGGGCACAGCCCCACTGCATGAGAAAACAACAATTCTGACTGGAGTTCTGCTTTAAGTTCTCATTTTCACTCAGCTGAAGAGTAGAATGAGTGACTCTTCCTTTCCACTCCTCAATGCCTGTGCCCTCTGGCTCCTTACAAACATCCAATTAGTGAGAGACAGTCTGAAAGCCAACAGTGTCAGCTCTACTCTCACCTTAGGAAACCCATAATGCTCTGTAAATGCTGAGTCACACATGCACCCTGTATTAAATGTTATGTTTATGTGTGTAAAATAAAGATTTGATATACATAGTAGAATAAAAAAAATAGTTGCGTAAAAAATTAAAAAGAGTTATATAGTTTAAGTTTTCAAATTGTTATGTTTTTGTTGTTTTAACTGCAAAAATAACATTGTAAAAAATATTTTCTGACTCACATGGTATATAAGAACACATGACGGCGATCAGGAAGTAGTAGTAATCGAAGGAAACGTTGTACTTGTTTGGAAGTCGCAGAGAGTACATTGCAGTCTTCCGCACATACGGTAAAGCAGCATAAATTGTTAAGAGTTCACCAGCTACACCAACAGGATACAAGACAATAAATAAATTATACCTGGAGAAGAAAAGCAGACAGTGTTAACTCCATTTCTGGAATACAGACGAAAAGTGATGAGTACAATAATGGAGAACTCCAGTATGATTATGTGTGTATAAGCTGCTATAAAAGAGCTGTATGATCGTGTTTAATTCATTTTTGGTATCCTGATTTAAGAACAGTCCCACTACAAGGGGTCATTTTACAGTTTCCTGCAGTCGGTCTTTAAAGTGCACCTGTGCTCAGTCTATGGACATTAAATTATTTATAATATATATATTTATATAATCAATGAAATGTGTAGAGGTGTTTGGTGTTGCCAAGGCCACCCACGGCTCAATTTTCAGCTGGTTCAAAATAATAGATCAAAATTCAAGCTGTGTATGGCCAGCTTAAAGTGTTACTAAACCCCGGACCCTGCATTCACTATATCTGGTCTCCCAGGACCCTGCATTCACTATATCTGGTCTTCCCGGACCCTGCATTCACTATATCTGGTCTTCCCGGACCCTGCATTCACTATATCCGGTCTCCCACAGTACACACAGCATGGAAATTATTTTAGTAAATCTAAACTGCTAAATATCTTTTCTCATCAACAGTTAGAGCAGTCTTGTGACTTCTATCAGTGTTCAGCCAAGCACTTGCTAAAGCTTGTAGGAGGAGTTTTCTTTCTGCTCTAGGAGGATGTAGAACCCCTGACCTCTGTCTTGACAGCACTGATTGGCTCTGTGCTGGTCACATGCACTCTCCCAAGAAAGAAAAAAAAAAAAAACCTATCTAGCAATACACACCAAGCTGAGCATGTTCAAAATGCCTATGGTTCGGTCTGTCTTATCAGGAGATAAGAGGTGGTTGCTTGACAAAGGGGAGGAACAGAGAAGAAAGGATCAAACAGCCTTTTTACACAATGTAGAGGATTAACCCCTTAGGTTCCAGAGTGAGTGTAACAAGCCTGTTTTACTGCATATACAGACTGATTTTACTGTTGTGGGTTTAGTAACACTTTAAGTTTTTAGAATCAAACTGAAACTTGCCATTAGAATCTCTATTCTATCTTTAAGGGTAAATTACTTAAGAATACACGCAGCTGCAGAGGGCAGTAAAAGCTCACTTAATGGTCCTTCACTGCTTGTCAATGAATATTTCCATTCATGCTAGGCCTTGTTAGAATTTTACAGGAAGGCAGAGAAATTAGCAAAATCCCCAGGTATTTCATAGTAAATGGTACTGTAGTGACACATAAGGCAACATGTCACTGTGTCACAGAAAGTACTTTATCTGGCCACTAGATGGCACTAAGTATTATAGGAATTCTTATTAGACTTAGCACCATCTAATGACCAAATGCAGTATTTTCTGTTTTAAATCAATACAAATATTCGACGAGGATAGGAAATAGCGCAACATTCCTTTTTGCACCATTCTCACAGAATGAAGGCACATGCACTTTTACTGGGTAAATGTCTTTGGAAATACACCTCTTAAAAGCTATGTATATACTTTAATGTCCATAGTCTCGACACGATTGCCTCTTAAAGGAACACTTTTTTGAAAGTTGATATAATCATCCAGTTACATTTTGCATATCTGCAATCAGACCTGGGAAAGGAAGATGAAGCTCTAGGAGACAATCAGTCTCTGATGCCTGCACATTTACTGATAGGAGAGAGTAGAGTGAGCAGCTATGGTAGCTCATCAATGCGTTGCTGCTGCTTCACTGTTCAATCAGCAGCTAGGGAGATGACACCACTATATTTCTTAACTCTAACAGAATATACAGTGTCATCCTCCTGGTTATGCTGTCCCATAGAGATGTATAAATCACAAAAATGGCTGCACAGAATTAAAATTAACTTGGCAGATAAGTCTCGAATGTATATTTATTTGCCCACTTGGAGTTTAAATGTTATCCTACTTATGTGTATCTTATAAATCATAGAATCTATCCTTTTCCTGTACTTCTTCCTTCTGAGGTACCTGGTTGATCTTGCCAGTCACCTTTCTTATTTGTACTAAACTGACCACACAAACCACAGATCCTGACCTGTATTATTGTGGTCAGTTTGCATAGGTACAGGACACTGGGCAGACACACAGCATGCTTGTATTATTTGTTCAGTTGTCAATCCCCCGAACAATCACAGCCTGCCTCTGGCACAGACCCTCTCCCAATCACATCTTTCCTCTTGAACACACTCATTCCCAATCACAGCCTGCCTCTGGCACTAAGCCCCTCACAATCACAGCTTACTTCTTGAACACACCCCTTCCCAATCACAGCTTGCCTCTGGCACAGAGCCCTTCCCAATCACAGCTTACCTCTTGAACACACCTCCTCCCAATAACAGCCTGCCTCTGGCACAGAGCCCCTCCAAATCACAGCTTACCTCTTGAACACACCCTCTCCCAATCACAGCCTGCCTCTGGCATAGATCCTCTCTCAATCACAGCTTGCCTCTGGCAAAGATCCCCTCCCAATCACAGCTTACCTCTTGAACACACCCATTCCCAATCACAGCCTGCCTCTGGCACAGACCCCCTCCCAATCACAGCATGCCTCTGGCAAAGACCCCCTCCCAATCACAGCTTGCCTCTGGCAAAGACCCCCTCCCAATCACAGCTTGCCTCTTGAACACCCCTTCCCAATCACAGCCTGCCTCTGGCACAGACCCCCTCCCAATCACAGCTTGCCTCTTGAACACACCCCCCTCCCAATCACAGCCTGCCTCTGGCACAGACCCCCTCCCAATCACAGCTTGCCTCTTGAACACAACTCCTCCCAATCACAGCCTGCCTCTGGTGCAGAGCCCCTCCCAATCACAGCGTACCTCTTAAGCACACCCCCTCCCAATCACAGCCTGCCTCTGGCATAGATCATCTCTCAATCACAGCTTGCCTCTGGCAAAGACCCCCTCCCCCAATCACAGCTTGCCTCTTGAACACACCCATTCCCAATCACAGCCTGCCTCTGGCACAGACGCCTTCCCAATCACAGCTTACATCTTGAACACACTCCTTCCCAATCACAGCTTAGCTCTTGAACATACCCCCTCCCAATCACAGCCTGCCTCTGGCACAGACCCCTTCCCAATCACAGCTTACCTCTTGAACACATCCCTTCCCAATCACAGCCTGCCTCTGGCAAAGACCCCCTTCCAATCACAGCTTGCCTCTTGAACACATCCCCTCCCAATCACAGCCTGCCTCTGGCATAGATTCTCTCTCAATCACAGCTTGCCTCTGGCAAAGACCCCCTCCCAATCAAAGCTTTCCTTGTGAACACCCCTTCCCAATCACATCTTCCTGCCTCTGGCACAGACCCCCTCCCAATCACAGCTTAGCTCTTGGACACACACCCTCCCAATCACACCTTGCCTCTGGCAAAGACCCCCCCCTTCCAATCACAGCTTGCCTCTTAAACACACCCCCCTCCCAGTCACAGCCTGGCTGTGGCATAGATCCTCTCTCAATCACAGCTTGCCTCTGGCAAATGACCTCCTCCCAGTCACAGCTTGCCTCTTGAACACACCCCCTCCCAATCACAGCCTGCCTCTGGCACAGACCCCCTCCCAATCACAGCTTACTTCTTGAACACACCCCCTTCCCAATCACAGCCTGCCTCTGGCAAAGACCCCCTCCCAATCACAGCTTGCCTCTTAAACACACCCCCTCCCAATCACAGCTTGCCTCTGGCAAAGACCCCCTCCCAATCAAAGCTTTCCTCATGAACAACCATTCCCAATCACAGCATGCCGCTGGCACAGACCCCCTCCCAATCACAGCTTAGCTCTTGAACATACCCCCTCCCAATCACAGCCTGCCTCTGGCACAGACCCCTTCCCAATCACAGCTTAGCTCTTGAACATATTCCCTGCTCAAACACAGACTGCATCTTGCCTCAGGCTGAACAGACTATGGAATACAGGCCCCCTGTGTGTCTGCACAGTGTCCTGTAATCCCACCCCCACTATCAGGAGCAAGTGATGCATGGTATGTATTAGAAAACGTCTATAACATTGTATGTTCACAACTCATTTTATTTTACATTTTATAAATGTTAATTTTTGGATAATAGTTTTCTAATTTTATCTAGAATGTCCTTTATATTCTATATAGGATATACAATATTTTTCTATCACTGTAACCTGTCAGAATCAACTGCCTCCAGATACTCATTAAAACCGCGAGGTATTGTTGGTTAAATTCTGTGACAACCAGGGACACGATTCTCATATCAGTTTTACAAAGACATCAAGGTGAACTGTCTAGGCCGTGGCTGAAATTGTGTCACGGTTTGTGTGATATTCCTCAGCCCTCCTGGCGGACTGTCCTCCACCCCACAAATGGATGTTCGATCAGATTAAGAATATAGGTCAACATCTCTGTGTGCAAGGCTTCTAACAAAAGAGACTGAGCGATGATAGCAATATTCCCCTGATATAGTGTCTTCATTCATCTCAGATCATCTATTGCAGTGTTCCAGTTTCAGGGACTGATAACAGGTTTATCCAATCATTCCGCACAAAAAGAAATCATGACATGTTAAGAGAAGTAGTACAATTAGACTATTGTCAGGTCAGTGAAGGGTAGAATCAACAAGTGTCCCTAATATCTTGGTCCAGACCCCAATTTATCCAATCTGCCCACACTGTGAAATGATCCTGTTTGCGCCTTCTCTTCAGTCTTGCGCAGTTGTACCGGCTCCTCTCCTGGACTGAAATTGCTTACTCTGATTTCACTGCACTCTGCGAGCTTCTCATAGTGTGTATTAGAAGCTGCTTCAAGTCAGATGAAGCCCACCTCATTCCTGGCTGGAAGACCTCATCTGGATGTCTCCCCCCCAGCCTTTCAGTCCCTGGTTTATCCCTTTCATTCATTGGAATGAATTCTCACATCTGTACACCTCCTATGGACCAGAACAATTTTTATATTTCTGCTATGGGCCTGTTTATTCGACAATAACATTGACATTACTTAACATGGAATTCCAGGATTTAATTAATGTACCACTACCCCAATAAGAGTCGCTAGAGATTTGGGTCCCCCTATAGTCCTGCACAGCCAGGCAACACATATTTTCCACAGACTTGCATTTCAGAGACAGTAAAACAGTCCTTGAGCTTGGATTTTTCTAAATTTTATTAGAGGATGATAAACTTGGATGGGGTAAGGGGTGTACAGTATGGGATGCCCAAGGGAACTGCAAACAAAGGACAGACTCCTTAGGAATTACAGTATGTACAAGTCCATAGAAGGGTTTATTTTCTTGAAGAGCTCTCCAGGCCTCTCCCAGTGTACCACTTCAAACCCCAGATGGTTCTCCTCTATCCAGCTGTCTGGAGGAATCCCTAGGAGGAATCCCTAGGCCAGGGGCTCCAGTGCATGCAATGTTAAGATGAAACAGTCCTGGGTAAGGAGCTAACCAGATTTCCCACCAGAGTGCTCTTTTCCCCTTAACTGGCCCAGGAGGTGTAGGATTACTCATTCACTGGTGTAGGTAGGTGGCTTCCTTCAGGTGAGGCTGAGCACTCCAAATCCCAGCCTGTAGGGAGGCCCCTTCCCACTGGGCCCCCTCTTAGGCTCCTACATCTCAGCTTTCCTCACATCTTCCACTCGAACTCTTCTGCTGCTAACCAGGCTCAGTCATACTTAAGGGCTGCTCTGTTCCCATTCCAAGCCTCCTGCTTGGGGAGTCTCTGGAGTATACAGACCAGCCCCTCCTCATCCCCATCTACTGCTTCTAGAATCTTCTCCAAAATTGTAGAGCAGGGGGAGGTATCAAGGAACTGATCAGCAGAGCCTCTCAGCCCTGACCCAAATTTGACCCCGCTGACTATTCCCTTGGCTGCTGCTCAGCCTCTCTAACTAACCCCTAGCTAACTGGAAGGGTGCTACACTCACTAATCTTAAAACTGACCCTCTCCCTCCTAACACCTATACTAACTAACATGTAGAATAGAGATGTCTGTAGTTACCTTTTTTCCAGCATGCTCTGACCCGGTCACATGATCCAGCTACCCTGTATCAGCTATCAGAGGCTTTAGGGGAGAGGCGTGAGCGCCACCAATGGATGGACCTTAGTAAGGCTATGGGTGATGTCATGCCCAGGCATTCCATCTGTTGTTGGAGCACTCTCTCCTCTCTCCTGCAGCTGGTGCTCACTGACACAGAGGAGATTACAGGACCAGTCTGGAACAGCCTGAAAATCAGCAAGTATATGCATCTTTCTTCCACCAGTTAGTATAGGTGTTCGGTGGGGGGAAGGGAGCAGGTTTACCATTAGTAAATGATATCCTGGAATTTCACTTTTAAAGTATAAATAAAGGCAAAACTTTTTTTTTAGTTTTGGATAGAGTGGAGAGGGATCAGAACACCTGTCAGTTTTTCTTTTTTGCTGTCTGTGCCCTTGATTAGGAGATTTACTCTCTATTTGCCCTGTATATTTGAGGGATTTGCATGGATTTCCTCTCATTTCATGCTTAACTATGGGACATGAAGTAAAGGGAAATCTCCACAATGGGACACAGATGGCGATAACCCTCCCCTGCTCTATCCAAAATGAAAAAAAGGTTCTGCCTATAATACTACTTTAAAATACCCAAATAATGTATTTATTATTTATTAGGGCAAACAAAGCTTTCATTTTTTTATGCAAGGTATAGACAAAAAATGTAACACAACTAAAAAACTGTAACATTATGATTCCTGTACAAAGCATTGCAAAGTTATTTACGAATGAATTAAAGGCTTTTCTTTTGTGGGCTTTTTATGACACATTAAATAAAGTAATAAACAAAACAAATCAAGAAATCAAGAAGTGAGCAGGGAAATTATAGTTAAGGGGAGAAGGGGAAGAAGGAACTAATAAGAGCTGTTTTAGGATTAACTAAGGGTTAATAAGGGGTTACATAAGAACGTGTTTTATTTAAAAAAAAAAAAAAAAACACTATATTTTTTACTTATCAGGTTACTGATAATGTTTAAAAACTCTTTGTCTGGAGATCTGTTTTGTGACAGCAGAAGCTTTTACAGCTGTCATATTTACATAGCAACTCCAGGCTGTCATTTTGACAGCTAGGAATTGTGAGCATCAGTGGAGCAGAAAGACAGCACATTCCCTGTGTACATCAATGCAGTCCAGTTCACAACCAGTTAAAGTGTATGTAAAGTCAAAACGTTTGGATAGAGTAGGGAAGGGTTAAAGCTACTGCCTGCTATATTTTTTTTCTGTCTTTATCCAATTTAAAGTGTTACTAAACCCCTGACCCTGCATTTACTATATCTGGTCTCCCACAGTACACAGAACATGGAAATGCAATTATTTTAGTAAACATAAACTGCTAAATACCTTTTCTCATCAGCAGTTAGAGCAGTCTTGTGACTTCTATCAGTGTCCAGTAGAGCACTGGTTAAAGCTTGTAGGAGTTTTCATTCTCCCACTGATTGTCCTATGAGGCTGCATAACCCCTGACCTGGACAATACGGATTGGCCCTGTGCTGATCACATACACCCTCCCAAGAAAGAAAATAAAATTCCCTAGCAATACACACCAAACTGAGCATGTACAGTTTTCCCCCAAAGCTCTGTACTATCAGAAGATAGGCTGGGGTCAGTAGAAGAAGGGGAGGATCAGAGAAAACAGGATCAAACATTCTTTTTACACAATGTGGAGGATTAACCCCTTAAAGTCTGCAGTGAGTATAATCAGAATGCTTTACTACATATACAGACTGATGTTACTGTTGTGGGTTTGGTAACACTTTAAGAGAAACTTTACTCGGGCATGTGAAACTTAAAATTCAGCAGCTACAAATACTTAAGAAGCAGATAATTACCAGCCCATGCAGTCCAGCACTGTTTTACATGCAGCTGATTCTTCTAAGAGCTCTGTGCTGCCATCTTGGCTTTGTGAGCAGGCTGTCACTTTCAGATGAATCACAGCTGGACCCTTACTGCACATGTGCAAGAAGACAGACTGCTGTAAGACTGATCCTGTAGCCCCTTGAAATGTGTGACATTATCCAAGGAGGCTGTGGACAGTTGGGGGGTCATCCTTGTCTAGGTGTGGAATAGGGAAGTGGGAGTAGGTTCCATCAATAAAAAAGGTACTCACCCCCCCCAGCACCAAAAAAACCTATGATATAGTCATAGGCTTGGAGGAGGGTAACTTTCATTTTTGGGTGAAGGACCACTTTAGGGAGATTTCCCTTCACTTCCTGTTCCAGAGGCACAAGAGGGAGTCCACCTAAAATGAGGGAAAGTCCATTCTAAGTTCTGGTGGCAATTCAGGATCTCCCCTAATGTTCTGTGATAGTGTGAGTGGTCACTGGGGCAGATAAAGAGGGTGACTCTCCCCAGTGGGGATGTAGACCAGAATAACTGATTGGTTGTCATGAGTTACCAAACTTTGCAGCAGTTTCTGTGTCCCTGCTGCTGATGCCGGGGGATGTTAGCCAAACGTGAACCTAGCCCTAACTTCAGACGACTTGCACACCCAGAGTTTGTATTTCATATGGATGGTTCTGTTTCCTCCTACAATCCAGAAATCTGCTGGTAGACAACTTGTCTTCCACTTACAATCAGTCCACGTATATATACAGTATGTGAGAACACATCTCCTCACCTGGCCCATTTAATAAAGTATGGCACGTGCTTGAGAAGATTAAAAGTGTAGTAGGAATATCGAGTGACCTCCGTCACAGTCCATACAATCAGGAAGAGAAGAACGCTCTCCTCATTCTGGATCTGAAAACAAAAACACACAAAATGCAGTTTATTACTTTTTGGTGCATTAAGTCACGTCAGCAGTGCACAGTAAGATAAATGTCCTTGACCCTCTCCCTCCTCAAACCCTAAACCTCAACCTTCCCCCATCTGAACCCTAAGTAACCTTCCCTACTAACTTAACCCTAACACTTAACCTGATGCCTACCTGAACCCTAACACCTAACCCCCTTCCACCTAAAGTTTAAAATTTACACTCGCACCCAGGGGCGGACTGACCATTCGAAAACTCGGGCACTGCCTGAGGGCCCGGGGTCAGTAGGGGGCCCATGAGATGCCCCTGGTACCTTTTTCATAGGCTTTTTTGAGTTTGGGCAAGGACACAGGGGCCCCATGATCCCCTATTGCCGGGGGGCCCCATGAGTTGTCAGTCCGCCCCTGCTCGCACCTCACCTAAACCCTAGCACTTTGGGGGGGGGCACAGCAAGTGGAAAAACATTTTTTACCTTAAATGTATCATCTGTTAATTTTTTCCAGGGAAACAGAGAGACTATAACTTACCTGATCCGTCAATTCTCCAGAAAACAACAATTCCCCACGTCCAGTGGTAGACTGTTCCTGCCATCCTCACGTCCAGAGCCAGTCTATGAATATGATGAAGTCAGGTACAGCCCATGAAACAAGATCTCTAGCGTGCGGGGGCAGAAGCGGCACTTGGAGGATCGGCGGATTAGGTGAATATATCTACCCCCTACACAAAAACGAGCATATAACTCATGCAGTTCCAGCACAGCCCCACTGCATGGGAAAAAAAAATCTTAAATGAAGGGAATGCATTAAGGTAAGATATGTTTTAGCTTTAGAACCACTGTAAACCAGCTAAATGTTTTCTAGGTTCAATTAAATAAAGTTGTGCAAAGTCTTACAGTTCTTTTTCTTAAGAAAGTAGCCACAGCTGAGCCTAATTTATCCATTCAATTCAGATCTACTCAACTATGGCATGCTGAACACAAATATTGTACATTCCTGCAAAAAAGTGATAGGTTCTCAAATAAAAATATTTTTTCAAAAATGTTTGCTGAGTTACAGACCTCTTTGGGATGGAAATATGTCTCATTAAAGGTTTCCTCTATGAGAACCCAAGCATGTCTTCATTAGTCCATAATAAACTGCACATTCTATAATATGATAACAAGTGTGGTGGTACATGATGAAAAGTAGAATGATGCTTATGTAAGAGGGCCCTTTTCCACTCAGCACCAATGTAATGGGTCTCTTCTCCACTGACTATCAATGTAAGGGGGGCACTCTCCACTAACCACCAATGTAAATGGACACTTCTCCATTGACCACCAATGTAAGGGGCCCTTCTTCTCTGACCACCAATGTAATGGGTCCCTTCAACACTGACTACATTGGTGGATATTGGAGAGTGGCCCCCTTACATTGATAGTCAGTGTTGAAGGGACCCATTACATTGGTGATCAGTAGAGAAGGGCCCCTTCCATTAGTGGTCAGTGAAGAAGGGTCCCATTACATTGATGGCCAGAAGAGAAGGGTCCCATTACATTGATGGTCAGTGGAGAAGGGTTCCATTACATTGGTGGATATTGGAGAGTGGCCCCCTTACATTGATAATGGAACCCTTCTCCACTGACCATCAATGTAATGGGACCCTTCTCTTCTGGCCATCAATGTAATGGGACCCTTCTTCACTGACCACTAATGTAAGGGGCCCTTCTCTACTGATCACCAATGTAATGGGACCCTTCTGCACTGACCACCAATCTAAGGGGCCCTTATCCACTGAGCACCACTGTAATGGGGCCCTTCTCCACTGAACACCGTTGTAAGAGAGCTCCTCTCTACTGACTGCCAATGTGAAGGGTAATTCCTCCAATGTTCACAAATGTAAGAGGGCCCTTCTCCATTGACCACAAATGTAAGAGTGACCTTCTTCACTAACCACCAATGCAAAAGGTCCCTTCTCCACTGACCACCAATATATGGGGGGTGGGGTAGGGTTCTCCAATCTCTACAAATATAGAAGGGCCCATCTCCACTGACCACCAATATAAGGGGACCCTTCACCACTGACTTAATATAAGGGGTTTTTCTCCAATCACCACAAATGTGAGGGGGGCTTTCTCCACTGACAAATGTGATGCTAATCATACACTACTCGAAAAATCGTTTGAACGCATTTTCAAAAAACGTACACATGGTCGGGAGAGCAAACAATATTGCCACCATGTAATGACCGAATTTGGAACAATAAATCGTTTAATGGATATAAATTAATCTGTTTTTTGTTTGTTTTCTGCTTCGGGGTCACATATGCACAGTACCAACAGCTCGATTTTTAATGGGCAAGAAACGCATTAACCTTTCAATTTATCGTCTATTTTACAAATATATCTTGCAATTTTTTTGGCTCAAGAACATCACTACCAATTTTTGTGCTGTGCTCATTAACTGGAGGCAAAACTAACTAACTGCCCAAATGACAGATTTTCAAATGATTTGTCATCTAGTGCAGGGGTCTCCAAACTTTCTAAGCAAAGGGCCAGTTTACTGTCCTTTAGGCTTTAGGGGTGCCGGACTGTGGGCAGCGGGAGTAGAAAATGTCAGTGACCCATCATTGGTTTTAATAGGAGGAATAGTGCCCTGTTGTTGGTATCAATGAGGGGAATAGTGCCCCATTGATGGTGACAGTAGGGGGAATGGTGCTCCATCATTGGTGTCAGTTGATGGAACAGTTACCAGAGGGCCAAATAGAGGCAAGCAGAGGACCACCATTTGGAGACCACTGGTCTAGTGTATGGGGACCTCAAGGGAGCATTACCATTTTCGCTGTCTGCATTTCTTTTCTAGCCATAACTATTCATTTTATTCAGTGATTCTTACTGAAAATGTTGTCATATAGAGCAGGAGGGGGGTAAAATGTCCCTTAGGGAACACTGCATTTGTTTGTTAACGCCTATATCTGCAGCTTTCTGGTCTAGTCAATGTACTATGAGCCATATATATTTATTTATGTCATCTACTTATATAGTGTTGTCAATTTATGCAGCGCTTTACATATATATTGTACATTCACATCAGTACCTAACCCACAAGGGGTGTAGTCAGGGGCGGACTGACCATTTGGAAACTCGGGCACTGCCCGAGGGCCCGGGGTTAGTAGGGGGCCCCATGAGATGCCCCTGGTACCTTTTTCATAGGCTTTTTTGAGTTTGGGCAAGGACACAGGGGCCCCATGATCCCCTATTTCCCGGGGGCCCCATGAGTTGTCAGTCCGCCCCTGGGTGTAGTACAATCTAAGGTTCCTAACTTGCATTCATTCATACACATACTAGGGACAATTTAGACAGGAGCCAATTTACATACAAGCATGTCTTTGGAGTGTGGGAGGAAACTGGAATACCCAGAGGAAACCTATGCAGGCACAGGGAGAACATGCAAACTCCAGGTAGGTGGTGGGTTGGGATATGAACCAACAATCCTAGTACTGCCAGGCAGAAATGCTAACCATTTAGCCACTGTGCTGCCCATATACAATAATTTTTAGTAGGGGTTTATTGAGACATCAACATTATTTCAAGGGTTTCTTTAAACGTTAAACGTTTATGATAAATCAGCATAGAGGACTACTCCTGATGAAAAGTTAGACATTTACTGTACAGTATATCAAGCTTCAAGAGATTAAATCCATTGGGGTATCCTCTGTGTGACAAGTGCACCACCTGCTGGCAAGCTTTCAACATTACAGTACCCAAGTTCGCAATTGCACCTGTAGCAGCCTGTAGTTTGGAATACAATTCCTGGGTATCAGCATGTAGTGTAATCTGGAGTGCAATCATCGGTCTGCTATCGTTCATCATAAAATCTGAGCTCTGTGGTGATCACAGTGCTGCACTCACATTATTCCAGCTGAATACAAATGCTACTTGGTCTATTCTAGTGCATAATAGTATCCGCAGGAGAGGAAACTTTGTACTGACTTTTGTGATTACACAATATACACGTTGCCAATATTTAAAAATAGTTTTTTAGTGACACTCTGTTCTTAAGCTGTGAATGGGAAATATACTTAATGCCTTTATTTATTTAAAGCAGGGAAGATCCACTGTCAGCTTTTTATTACTATCCGTCTTTCTGCTGCAAAGATTATCCCTCTCTATTTGTCCTTGTGACCAGGGGCGGACTGACAACTCATGGGGCCCCCGGGCAATAGGGGATCATGGGGCCCCTGTGTCCTTGCCCAAATTTAAAAAAGCCTATGAAAAAAGGTATCAGGGGCATCTCATGGGGCCCCCTACTGACCCCGGGCCCTCAGGCAGTGCCCAAGTTTCCAAACGGTAAGTTCGCCCCTGCTTGTGACCATTGGCACTAAAACTGAAAATGGAGGAAAATCTAAAATTTTGTGTTGTCACTGGAACGGGAATAGAGAGGAAATCTTTCAATGGACACACTTGTTTCAGTGACATCTGTCTAAGAGAGGATTGCCCTTACTGTTGTGTCTGAAGACAAGAAATGAAGGAAAATTTGCCCAGCGAGACAGACAGCAAGAAATAGGAGGTTTAACCATTCACTTATCAAAATATCAGAGTAAAGAAAACAAGGAATATTTATAGTATGCAAATACTAAATAACATTACACAAATGAAAGCATTGCAAATGTCATTTTTTCCCCATAAAACATTGTTTTATGACATTTACACATTTACTTGACTAGGGCCATGAGATGATCCATTACAACACCATATACTGTATATGTTTTAATTTTCACTGTCTATTTGATATCATTATCATGACCCACCACCAAAAAAAACCCCAACAAAAACACCTAATTTTATTACTCCTGACACATCAGGATACCACATACATGCAGGGGCGTCCCTAGGCAGGTGTGGGGTGTGCGTGCCGGACCGGGTGACACCTATTGCACCGGGTGACACTGAACCCGCTCTACAACAAGGTAAGTTTTAAAGCAAGCTGACAATCCCCACAGGATGGAT